TCTATCTATATCTATATATATAATATATAATCTATAATATATCTATATATCTATATTTATATATAATTATATTATAAGTATTATATATTATATTATAAATATATAATAGTATATAATAATATAATTGTACTATATTATATTACATTATATTATATCGTATCGTATCGTATTGTATCATCTTACATTATAATTATATAAAGTAAAAACAGAGGTCTCGCAAGAGAGAGGAGAGTGTTACCGTCGCAGTTATCGCCCCAGATTTGTAGGAAATGCTGCGTGTCAACGTTGGCTTCGAAGGTGAAGAGTCCCAGATTTTCGTCGACCTCCACGATCACTTTGGCTTTCACGAACCCTACGTTTTCCAGCGCGAAATGTTTATACTTGCTTTCGTTGACCAATGTGCGACCGAAGTTCAATGTAGCTTCCTCGCGTTCTCCGTGCGACGGCTCTATGACCTTCACTTGCGCTACACAGGTCTCTCCCACCAAATTGATCAACATCTTCTCCTCTGCCAGATGCAAAGGCAGGAGCGCTGATATTTCCAATGATCCTCGGAAGGTCTACGAATTTTTAGCGAAGAAAGAATGGTCCCAGAATTTCGGAAGATATATGATTCAACTTTGAGTTTTCTTTTTATTTGAGCTAGAGTTCGTCACAGCCGATAGGTTGAAGGATAATTTCGGCGAACCTCTATCGTGGCTGGCATGAAAGTCACGGTGAACGTTTTGTAGCTCGCTGGCGGAATTCGTTCAATCATTGGCTCCACGGAGAAGGTGTCGGGCGCGGCTGTCTTCGGCGTCAAGGAATCCTGACTGTAAAACACCTGCACGTCCGCTGGAACTATGTTTCGATTGTACAGTTTGAAGCAGGTCGCGTGGGTGGTCGATACGCAGACGTATCGGAAGTAAAGGCACTTTTCTTGTCGCGTGAATACCGTGTGCGGTCCAATCTACATACAATTTTAGACTGTTGGGAATCTAGCTCAAATTGAAACTTTAAACGAAAATTTTAAACTAGATGCAGTAATTTCTCTCAGAAATGTTCGGAGGTCGGAATTGAAACCGGCAGATCTGAGAATACTAAGTCGCGATAGCCACGCGGCTCGTTTTTGTAGAAACTCGGGGCAATTTGCAAAGAAAAGGCAGCGGTCAGCATGCTGGCATATATTAATATGAATACATAGTGAGGTTAGAATAAAAACGATGTCTTAACTTTTTTTAAAATTTTTTTGCCACGATTCGAAGGCAATTCGGAGATTTGAAGGCAATTCGGAGAATTGAAGGCAATTTGGAGAATTGAAGGCAATTCAGAGGCCACACGCCACGATTCGTAGGTAATTCGGAGGCCACATGTCACGATTTGAAAGCAATTCGGAGGCAACGTGACAAGTTTCGAAGGCAACTCCGAGATTTTTAAAGGCAATTCAGAGGCCACACGCCACGATTCGTAGGTAATTCGGAGGCCACATGTCACGATTTGAAAGCAATTCGGAGGCAACGTGACAAGTTTCGAAGGCAACTCCGAGATTTTTAAAGGCAATTCAGAGGCCACACGCCACGATTCGTAGGTAATTCGGAGGCCACATGCCACGATTTGAAAGCAATTCGGAGGCCACGTGACAAGATTCGAAGGCAACCCCGAGATTTTTTAAGGCAATTCAGAGGCCACATGGCACGATTCGAAGGTAATTCGAAGGTCACATGACACGATTCGAAGACAATTCCGATGGCACATGACATGATCCGAAGGCAATTCGGAGGCCACATGGCACGATTAGAAGGTAATTCGAAGGTCACATGACACGATTCGAAGGCAATTCGACGGCAATTCCGAGGCCTGATTCCACGATTTGAATGCAATTCGAAGGCAATTCGGACATTTGAAGGCAATTCAGAGACCACATGCAACGATTCGAAGGCGATTCGGAGAATTGAAGGAAATTCAGAGGCTACATGCCACGATTCGACGGTGACGTACCTTGTATCTCCGCGGTTTTCCTTACTTAACTCCAAGGACCCTAATATCGACATAACAATAAATTACATGGGCGTAGGACTAGCACAGGGAAATTCACAGCAACCCGATATTTGGCATTTCCGGGAGAAATTACTGTACTAGGACGCTTATTGCGTATTGATTTTCGAATACTAGTCGGTCAGGAGAATCAAAAATACCTCTTTAGGGCAGTCGAAGTCCTGAATCCGATCTACCACATGATTCTCTTGGAACATCGAGTCGACGTCTTCGAAATCGATGCACGGCACGGACGATTGAACGGACAAGGAAATGATTTTCCCGTCGCTGTCCTCAGGTACGCTGTCCTGTACTTGGATCACGATCTGTTCGTCCTGGGAGCCTACGAATTCTGGGCGACAGGTGACGACGATCGTGTCCGTTTGATTCACGTCAACGTCACCTTCCGTTTTGTGTATTGTCATCGGTCCCACTACCAGCTTCGTTGGCTCTGGTTGCTCGCTTTTCAACAAAATAAATACGTTTCAATGTCAGTCTTACGTTAGCTTTCGAGAAAGATAATTCGATATTTCTGTTCTCTAGGTTCATTCAAATAAAACAATAAATATTTTTGCGAAAGACATTTTCATATGTATAAATGATGTCGAAGATGTCCAAAAATCTAATCCGCAAAGACCAATTTTTTGGATATATTTCTATTTACTTTAGCAGCTAAGTGTCTCAAACGGTGTGTCTCCGAACACAGAATAAGTTTTACGCAAGCTCAAACACAATTATTTACTAGGCGTTGTCGATTGCTTTGATCTTCACGGATTTCTTGCTTCTCTTCGACGCAGCGGTCCTCGCCGTCAGGTTTCTTTTTTTGCGCGGAGCCTCTTTCGTCACTTGACTTTGGTAAAGCATAGACAAATGCCTCTGCGGCAGCTGTATGGTGTAGTGTAACGGAAACTTTCCCGTGTTTTCTATGTTGAGGTACATGGTTTTCTGGGTGCAAATTGCCATCGTTCCAAAATCGATCGCGGGAAATGGATCGACTCGAAATCTGCATAGAAATTCGTAGGATGAACTGATCATGTTAACCAACGTAGCACAGCGATTCCCGGGTCCATTTCGACCCAGAAGGATCTAGAACTCAGGTCGTGGTTCTTAATTTTAATGCGCACGCGCGTAAGTAGAATTCAATGTAGTAGCACGGAAGAATTTTGCAAATTTTAATTGAATTTCAATTCTAATTAACGCTCAGATTGTACAAAAAATAGACAATTTGGGAATTCATTATTGTTGACAATCGGTTGACAAACTAAAAACGAGCCGCGAGGCTCGAATAATCGTATCTCCTCTCCCCAAATTGTCTATTCTCGCGTACAAACTGAGTGTCAATTAGGGAGAATTTACCGTATTTCGGAAATTAAGATTATTTGCGGCGGTTAGGTGCGTTACATGTACAGAGAAAAAGTTGTTCAGAATCTCGTCTTCTATAACAAATATTTCAGAATCAAGCAAATCGGAGTCGACGCCCCTAAAGTAAACAATATAACCTATTTGCTATTTTGCGAAACAAACGATATCGTACCTAGTGTAGTAAACATCGAGGGTGACGGTGAGAGGAATTTCAGCGACTATGACGGTGTCCTTATTACTGTCGACCAAGTGGCATTTTAATATCGGGGCATCCCGGAGACTCAGTTCACTCTTTGGCACAATGACGACCTAATTGAACGAGAAACTCGTTTCATCAAATGTGAACTTTAATATACATTACGTCTCGAAAATACGAACTTCTACTGCTCGTTCGACGTTGGGTGGAAGAATACCGGATACAGGTTGGACATCGAGACTCTTCTTCAAGTTCACAGGCAAGTTCAGTTTCGACAGCTTTTCATTGTCCTCTAGCGTGATGCTGTTACATTTCTATTTTAGCAATGTCATCGATATACAGTAATGTCTCTCTAATTGACGCCCAGATTGACCACAAAAATGGACGATTTGGGAAGAGGAGATACGATTATTCGAGCCTTGTGTAATATAGCTATAGTTATAAATCGTCCACAATTATAGAAATGAGCCGCAAGGCTCGAATAATCGTATCTCCTCTTCCCAAATTATCCATTTTAGTGGACAATTTGAGCGTCAGTAAGGGAGACATTAGTAAGGGAGAAGAATTTCGCTTAAGATTTCTCACAGGAACTGCACTTCGTACTCTCCACGATTTCTCATGCTGATCAAGCCGATGGCAGGCACGTTGACCTTTGTTCTCGTCAGTTGTATCGGATTCGCGTGATCTATGTCAACGGCGACGTCGTAGGTCTGTCCAGTCAGGCGGATCACGTCCGTGAAAACTGGATCTTGATCGTCGTACAAGAATACTTTGAACGTCACTGTCTGCGGCTGGATCACGCCTACCTATAAAATATGCCATTAATGTAGCTCGTCTCATTTTCATGGTGTTCGAGGAGGACATTACGGTAGTCCCATGGTAGCAGAACTGGATTTTTTGCTCGTCCCAGGGTTTGATATCCCCTCCATCAAGCGAGAACGTGATCTGAGGATCGAGGGGCTCCTCGGGCTCTAAACACCAGCGAAGCTTCATCCCGTTCTTGTTCCGAATCGTTATATCCTCGAATCTTCGACGATAGAGCAACGTGCTGTCGAATGATATCTGTTTCCTGTCTAATTCTATATTCAGCTTCGCGCCCTCGCTGCAAAACTGGAATATAGAAAAATGGATTAAACGAATGTATGTTTAGCTGTGAAAGCGTTTGATTAGATTGGTTCGTTAGAGTAATAGTTACTCGCAAAACTTCCACTCTTGGATTATTCTTTATGCACAGCTGCAGGCTGACAGAATTGCTGCCAAGTCTCGCGCCAATGGCTGACAAAGTTAGGATCCCCTGATTTCCCGGCTACGAGGATTGTAACAGTTTAATAAGAATATTTTATTATAAGAATATTGGAATATATAAAGAGTGTTCCAAAATTATGGTACTTCCGGGAAATGAGAAGTTCCTGAGGTCATTCGAAGTAACTTTTTCCTTTACAAAAATTTTCTCCGAGGCATCGTTCTCGAGTTATTAACGAAAAACACTGACCAATGAGGGGCGAGCTCGGCTGGCGCAAGGGTCGAAGCCTAGTTGCGCTCGTTGGCTCGGCCGCCAAGCGCCAGCAGAGCTCGCCTCTCATTGGTCACTGTTTTTCGTCAATAACTCGTAAACGAAGCAGCGGATTGCATTTTCGCGAAGGAAAAAGTTACTTCAAATGACCTCAGGAACCTCTGATTTCCAAAAGGACCATCATTTTGGGACACCCTGTATATTCCAGAAATAAGACAACTCCTGGCTGAAATAATTTTTAATTGACAGGCAATATGTATTGCGGCAGCCCGAACGAACTATTTTTTACGGCGAATAGGTGTGCGACTTGATATGTCGCGACGTGATATAACCATTTCAGTGGTGCCTCGGAATCACTACTCGAGTGCAAAGGGTTAATATTATATTATTATTAATATTATATATTATTATATTATTATATTGTTATATTATTATACTAATATCATATATATTAGTTAATTCTATTTAAAATCGAACATGTTATACTCGAATTTTATATATTTACCTATCTATCTTTCTATCTATCCATGTATATAAAATATATATAATAATAATAATTATAATAATAATTATTAATAATTATTATATATATAATATAGTATAATATAATAATATATTATAATATATGAAATAATATATGAATAATATATGATTAATATAAATAATATAAGTATTATTTTATATTATATATAAATATATATATATAAATAAATTAATATTATTATATTATATATAAATATATATATAAACAATATTTCGGGTTAACTCTGTTTGAAAGAGACGAACGATCGTGCGATCACTTTCTGCTAGGAGTGCTTGAACGGTAATTAAGGGGGAGCCTCGCAACGCACATCGATAAGCAGATTCTCGGGCTGGATCGCGAAACACTCGTCGTTGTTTTTCGCGAGGGAGAAGCTCACCTCCGCCTCCACTCTCGAGATGTTGCGGAACTTGAGCTCGGCATCGTGACTGTACGGCCTGCTCGCAGATAAGAAGCAAATGTAGCTCGCGGAGTTCTCGAAGTTAACTACGAGAAGCACTTAGGCTAACTTCTCGCGCCGCGGATCTCGCTGCGAAGTTTCGTATCGGGGCGTTTCCGATTTGTAATCGGCGCGCGCTAACCTTTTGATGGTCGGCAGGATCGGCATCGATCCGAAATCGTAAACGCCGCGGTCCGGGAAGTATGCGGGAAGATTGAGGACGTCACCGGTGTCTTCCACCTAGGGCAGATTAATATTTATCGAGAGGAAATCATTTTAAACCCTTGCGCCACGGTCTCTCTCGCAGCTAAGTGCCGAATATCGATCCCCAAAATCCCCACAATACCGAAGACATTTAATTAATGAAATTAGTATTTCGTAAATTATGTGTGAAAGCTTCGTCACTCGTTGCTATAGTGCAGGGGTGTACACAAAAGTGGACAATTTGGGAAGAGGAGATACGATTATTCGAGTCTAGCGGCTCGTTTTTATAGTTACCGATTGTCAACGACTACAAAAATGAGCCGCCATTTTTGTTTCGAAGCTGAGAGTCGATTAGGGAGAATTTACTGTACTTCGGCATTTTTTAAAAATCTTTGACGCTATTGAGAAGCATAAATGTAAATATCGTTACTGACGTATTCAGGAGGCTTTCGTCTATCATTTAGGCCAATATGACATTTCTAATGATTTTAGTTTCTGTGAAATACTTCATTTTTGCCCAGATTCGCACGCTTTTGCAAAAACTCGTGCTTTTTTGAAAACTGGGAGCGATAGAGCAATTCGGTTTTCGGATTCGTGTTCGAGAAATTATGCTCTACACAACATCGTATGGGGTTAAGCGATCATACATCAACTCTCGTTGATGTAAACATTTGTCGGCAATTGCAACGGAAATTTCAATAAACAATGTCGGCGAACTGCGGTGTCGCTGAAATCGAGTCGATGAAAACATTGTCGGTGAAATGCGGCGTCGCTGATATCGAGTCGATGAAAACAGTATCGGTGAAATATTAATTATAGATGATTTATACATTAATTATAGATGATTTTATATATTTTATATATATATTATTATTATTATAGATGAGAGATTTGATTACTGAACTGCAGATTTCGTGCATTTGCAAAGATGGATAAATAAATGACAGTGGAATCTTAAAAAGAATCGCAGAATATCCTAGCGATAATTTTAATTAATAAATGAAATCCACAACAGTGGAAACTTGAAAAAAATTGCAGAATACTCTCTTGTAATCATTTCGATTCACCGAAGCTGTCGACTCAAGAAATGAACTTTTATTCATTTATTTATTTATTCGATCGATGCAGAAAATATCGAGTTTGCACAAAAATCCGCAGTTTAAGCCTATTTTTTTTACACCGTTCCTACTTTACTTTGTCAAAAACCGCCTCCGGACTCATGTCAAGCGTCGGTATATCCGCGACACCGGAGATCTTCAGTTCATAAGTGACATTGCGTCCGCCAGGTATAGTGATCGCGTACACTTCGTCATAGTCGCCGATTTCCGTCGGCTGGAAGCGGATCTTGAACCTCTGTATTTCGTTCGGTTGGAGGATCCATCGCGGCTTCAAAGGCTCCTCCACGACACTCTCCGCGACGGAGACGATCGCGTCCCTGCTCTCGATCGTCGATGGGACCAAGGATCGGTCCTCCGCTTTGCTCACCGATCTTCGATCCTCCAGTTGACGGCGTTTTTTCGCCCTACGAGTGCCACTGATCGACTCGGTACGCGAAGGAACTTCCGGCGCTGGTGCCGGCGTCAATGCCGGCGCCGGTGTCAACGAGACCAGTTCGTAAACGTCTGAGAAACAACAGTCGATGAAATGGAAAACAGTGAAAATAGAAGATTTGATGGATATTGTTATATTTATATATTTATTATACATATATATTACATATATATATATATATTATGTATAATATATTATATATATTTATTGCTCGTATTTTATATATATATAATATATTATATATATTTGTTGTCCGTATATTATATTATATATAATATGTATATTATTTATATATTGTTATATATATGAAAATATTATATTATTCTGAGAATGTGTTTATACCGAATCTCTGTTTCTTGCAAAAAGTTAGACAATTTTTATTGAACGCGAAGATCCGATTATGAATACATTTTAGTCATAAAATCGCAACATGCACGCATTGATTGATAATTACTAGATCGCGAATTTTGTGCATTTATGACAAGACAGATCATGCGAAATAACCGAATAATTAGGAAACATTAGAAGAATTGAAAGATGTCCTTACAGTCCCATTGATTTATTAAAATTGTTAAATTGCTAAATTGTTAAAATTGTTAGAATTGTTAAATTTGTTAAATTGTTAAAATTGTTAAATTTGAAATACAGTTTCGTTTAACTTCGATACTATTTTTTGCAACTGAAAACAGAAGACTTCTATTTTGCAGAGAGATTGATCGAATTGATTGAACTTTCTGTAACAGAAAAATGTGGATATACACCTCCGAGAACACGTCTGCTTCGTTCCTGAATTTTCCGGGACGTTAAAACTGTAAACATTTTCGGGACCAGGTCGGGTTGAGATTCTGGCTCGGCTTCTACGAAACAGATCGAATCGTTACTTCCATCGCATAAATACAATCTCGTGTACTTTACAAAGAAAGATCGAGAGAGACGGGCGAATATAATACTTCGAAGTGTGCACAATCATTCATATCGCGGGGAAGTAGAACGAAATGGAAGAGAGAATCTTTGCGACGACGAGAAGAATGGTTCTGCCACTTTACCTAGCACGGATTTTGCTAAATCATTTTTGGCCATTTGTGCGACCACTGCGTCGTACATCGAACCTTGCCAAGGATCGCTGGCATTCACGTACCACACGTGAAACTTGTTCAGATTCTCCTAGAAAAGCCGATTCGGCGCAGGCGTTAGAAATACAGTAATGTCTCTCTAATTGACGCTCGGATTGTGCAGAAAAATGGACGATTTTGGAAGAGGAGATACGATTGTTCGAGCCTTGCTGCTCGTTTCTTTATGGTTATCGATTGGCAACGACTATAAAAACGAGCTGCAAGGCTCGAATAATCGTATCTCCTCTTCCCAAATTGTCCATTTTTCTGCACAATCCGAGCGTCAATTAGGGAGACATTACTGTATGTGGATGCGTATTTAACACGTTGAGCGCCGCGTCGGTCACGCATGGGTGACTCTAATTTTAGACCAAATTGGAAAATTCATTTTCATTGTAATATGTTCGAACAAACTGAATTCCAATGTCATCGAATTCCAACTGAGTTCCAATGTCATTCATTGTGATAAATTTTAACTTTCTAGTTTCGGTATAATTAATTAAATTGCTATGACTTTGAGGGATTTTTTTTTAATCGTTGATTGTTGGCGTTGAACGTGTTAACAGATGTTTATTAAATCGTAAAACAATTGAACTGCGCAACCGCGGCATTTATTTAAATCGTCGCATGTACAGTAATTTCTCTCGGAAATGCCAAGTTTCGGGTTGCTGTGAATTTCCCTGTGCTATTTCTGCGCCCATGTAATTGATTGCTACGTCTATGTATTCATATTAATGTACACCAGCATGCTTGCCACTGCCATTTTTTTACCGATTGCCTGAGTTTCGATAAAAACGAGCCGCAAGACTCGAAAAATCGTGTCTTTACACGACTTAGTATTCTCGGATTTGCGTGTTTCGATTCCGACTCCAACATTTCTAAAAGAAATTACTGTGTATACTTATAGGAAAATCTTCTAATTTCACCACGAGAGAACAGCACGAATTCACACTCGCTGATTCAGATAAAACTATGTGGATTCGTGCAGCGTCCCGAAATATTTCATTAGCGTAAAATGTATGCATCTACTTTTTCACGCACGGCGAGGCATACAAAAATGAGCACGCGATAAAAAATTGTCTACGCGTGTCGCGGTTTCACAAACGACCCGAACATCATATCGTGAACATTTCGATGTTCTAATTATCTACTGTTCTCACATGATCTTCATTCGATGCCAGATCCTTGGTCTTGTCGCTTTTCGACGCTTTAGATTTCGTCGTGGGAAATGAATCCTGAACGAAGAAACAAATAATTTAACCAGTTGGTTATTGCGATCTCTTTGAAAGGTGTATAATGTGGCTGTGTTATAATATATACAGGGTGTCCGTCTCGTCTTGGAATTGAGAATATCTTATAAACTACGAGAGATAGCGAATAAATGTTTTGACAAGAGTTGTTTGATATGCAAGGGGGCATAACGTGATATAAACAGTTTTATTGTTGGTTAAAAAATGGCGGAGGTTTCACGGTGCTTTTTTTTTTAAATAGAATGTCTTTTATTTTTGTATTCACTGTACACTGTACAGTCAAACCTGTGTTTGTGCAGTCTTTTTTATGCGACCTTTTTATGCGATTTCTTTCGTGCGACTTTTTTATGCGGTATACGAACACAGTCAAACTTATTTTTCCGCGGTGGATAGGGACCGCGAAAAAATTGCAAAAAAATCGCATAAAAAGACCGCGTAAAAACACGCGGGTCTCGTTGTATTATATTACAATTGAATACGAATCCAACGAGGCGCAATGAATCATTTCTGTCAACAGAAACGTGGAAAATCGTCGTTTAATCGAGCCATCGTGTGCCGTATACCTCTGCGTATACATTCTGCGTGATTAGTGATCGCGACTGCGGATTTGTATTTACAACGACGGCGGAAACAACGATTAATTTCAAAGCACACGCGCGCGCACCGCCGAGCGTGGATTAGTATAAATGATTTCTTCTTTCATTGTTCAATGGTATCCGAACGTTTATAAACATGCATCCAATCGCTAATCGCGCATACTGCGACTAATCAGAGGCGTACTCGCGCATGATGGCTTGATTTAACGACGACTTTCTAAATTTCTACTGACAGAAATGGCTTCGATCGCAGCTCATTGGATTCGTATCAAATTGTACTGTAATACAGTGTACAGAAATATACAGCATTCTATTAAAAAAACATAAACGCAACCTTGAAATTCCTGTCATTCTTTCGCCTACAAGAAAACTGTTTATATCACGTTATGCTTTATTTTATACTAAACTACTTTCGTCGAAACATTTCTTCGCTATCTCTCGTAGTTTCTGAGATATCCTCGATTTAAAGATAAAAAGGACACCCTGTAGAATTAAATTGAGTACTCAAAATGACTGTTTTATTTTCCAATCTTATTATACCGACACTTATTTAATTTAATTTAACTAGATAGTTGCTCTCGACGAGTATTATTCGTCAGAAAAGAGAAGCTGTTTAAACATTAGATAAAATATTAAAAATGACATTAAAAATTATATTAAAAATTGCTGTTTAAATATTACTGACTACAGCTTTCTTCTCAGGATCCCAATGACGAATCACGTCGAGTATCGCCGAGAGGTCCGACTGATATCGATTCATGGCCTCGGCGATCCCTCTGATTCCCTTCGGAACTTTCTCCAGGCCTGCAACATTAATCGTTCGATCCCAATTCGTTCGGTCCCCAATTTCCTGCGAACGGCGCTCTGCTCGCGCGGCCTGAAATTATTTAGAATATTTCGCCCGTAATGGCCGCCGGCCGCCGTCTAATTCGCCGTAATTTAATCGAATCTTCAAATATCACGGGTCACGAATTACTCTGGCCCGGTTCAAATTGACTCGCAACATTTCCTCCGTCAGGCGACGCCGACGCCGACGTTTTGCTTCTTCAATTCCATTCGTCCCGACCATTTCCACGGGCGAATCTTACCGCGTCTGGAGCTGCCCCTGCTCCTCGCCGCCCCGCTCCGCTTCGAGCTCGCGGACCTCTTATTGCCCGTGTGCCTAGGAGGCTCCGTCGACTTTTCCTTTCCTTTTCCCATGGGCGTCTTTGATCTCGGGACACGGCCACCAGCGCCCTGCGAAACAGTGACACGCTCCACTAAGGAATTAATGTCGGATCGTTTCACGGTTGTCTGAACCCTCCGCACCAACCCCGCCTCCCTATCTATCTTAGTTCCTGCTATTTATCCAGAATAATGAAACTTTCGATGATTTTCTTGCTGGAAATAGGAGCGGAAGCGGAACCGGTTACCGTGGGATTTCCAATTGCTACGTCTTTGGTTCGTCGCCGGGTGTAATTAACTTTCGCGATTATTCAATACAATTTTTACATTAGAAAGTAAATAAAACGAAATAACAAAATTGAATACGACGAACTTATCATCTGATATGAATACATTGAATTATACGAAGTGGCAAATTTTTACAAATACTGCGAGATGAAAATATAAACTGGAAGATCCAAGAAGAGAATTTTAATAGGATGGTCATGTATACAGAGTGCCCCATAAATGTAAATAATCCGGAATTGGGGGGTACCTGAGGTTATTTGAAGTAACCTTTTCCTTTACAAAAATGTTCTCCGAGGCATCGTTCACGAGTTATTAACGGAAAACGGTGACCAATGAGAAGCGAGCTCAGTTGGCGCGAGGCGGCGCAACCAATGAGCGCACGCAGCACAGTTCCGCTCATTGACTCGGCCGCCTAGCGCCAGGCGAGCTCGCTGAGCCAACGAGCGGTCGAAGCCCAGTTCCGCTAATTGGCTCGACTGCCTAGCGCTGGCAAGATCGTCTCTCATTGGTCCGCGTTTTTCGTTAATAACTCGTAAACGAAGCCGCGGATTGCATTTTCGCTGAGGACAAAGTTGCTTCAAATGACCTCACGAAGCCCTCAGTTCCCGGAAATACAATAATTTTGGATTATTGCTCTCGCTCTCCCTCTCGCTCTCTTGCTCTCTCGCACTCCCGCTCTCTCTCTCTCTCTCGCTCTCTCGCACTCCCGATCTCTCTCGCGTGCGCTCTCTCTCTCTCTCTCTCTCTCTCGCGTGCTCTCTTTCTCTCACTCTCTCTCGCTCCTTTGCTCTCTCACACTCCCGCTCTCTTTCGCGCGCTCTCTCTCCCTCTCGCTCTCTCTCTCTCTCTCTCTCTCTCTCTCTCTCTCTCTCTCTCTCTCTCTCCCGCGACGTGACACGTCCATAGGAGCGAAGCGGTTAACTTATGTTTACGTCATGATTATCACTGAGGGCATAAAAATGTAATCATTTTCTCCTACACCCCAGCATAAAGACGTTAATAAAGCGTATTCTATAAACAATGGTTAAAATGAATCTGCGAGGACATTCATTTTTAGGGGTTCTGGCCACGTTTTTATTATTTCGGACCATCGTGCCTCGGGTTAGAATCGTTGATCGCGCTCGACGTAAATACGAAATTTGATGTGTGTCAATGGCGGCCGGGGTCAGACCTTTTTCTGATTCATCATCCGTTCGGCGAATCGAGCTCGTCTAAGCGATGCCTTCTCCCTCAAAGCCGGCAGAATAGCCCCCAGATACATCTCCTTGTCCTCGTCGGTCAGCAGCTCGTATTCGGACGACGACATCTCGTCGATGTCCCGGATCCTCTTCTCGGTATCGCTCGTTTTCTCTGTCGCGAAAGATCAAATCTCGTTTCGTTTCTCCTGTCGGTCTATCATCGACAATGCCTGGCTCCCGAACCGGTATCGCGGTAATGCGATCGGTGCCTCGCGAAATATCGCTTGGCTGGGCAACCGCGATCTACGGCGAACACAGTAATTTCTCCTAGAAATGTACGGAGGTCGGAATTGAAACCGGCAGATCTCAGAATATTAAGTCGCGATTCATCGGGCTTCGCGGCTTGTTTTTAGAGAAACTCGGGGCAGTCGGCAAAAAAGGCAGCGGCCAGCATGTCGGTGTGTATTAATATGAGTACAGAGTAATGCTGGAATAAAAAGGATGACTTAACCTTTTTATTTCTCATTGTTTTGCACGATTCGAAAGCGATTCCGAGGCCACGTGATACGTTTCGAGGTAATTTGGAGTCCATATGCCACGATTTGAAGGCAATTCAGAGATTTGAAGGTAATTCAGAGGCAGCATGCCACGATTCGAAAGAAATTTTGAGGTTATATGATACGATTTGAAGGCAATTCGAAGACCATTTGGAGAATTGAAGGCAATTCCGAGGTCATATGACACGACTCGAAGGCAATTCAAAGGCAATTCGGAGAATTGAAGGCAATTCCGAGGCCACGTTCCATGATTTGAAGGCAATTCGTAGGCAATTCGGACATTTGAAAGAAATTCGGCGATTTGAAGACAATTCGAAGGCAGTTCGAACATTTGAGAGCAATTTGGCGATTTAATGGCAATTCGAAGGCAATTCGGTCATTTGATAGCAATTCGGAAAACTGAAGGCAATTCAGAGGCCACATGTCACGATGTGAAGGCAATTCGGAGATTTGAAGGCAATTCGGAGAATTGAAGGAAATTCAGAGGCCACATGCCACGATTCGGAGGCAATTCAGAGACCACATGCCACGATTCGAAGGCAATTAGGAGGCCACATGCAACTAATCGAAGGCAATTCGGTGGCCACGTGACACGATTCGAAGGCAATTAGGAGGCCACATGCAACTAATCGAAGGCAATTCGGTGGCCACGTGAAACGATTCGAAGGCAATTCGGAGGCCACATGCCACGATTCGACGATCACGTACAGTGGCCATCGACTGCTTCTTAGCCATCGTCTAGTAGACTAATCCCTCTATCATCTAAAAAAATTCAAGTCATTTAGTTCAGCTTTAAAATAGTTATTACGTTTTAAAAGGTGTACGAACACTTTTGTGGGCCACTCTATCTATTAGTACCTACACGTACCTTGTAGCTCCACGGTTTTTCTTACCAGACTCAAATACCCAAACAGATCATTTTTTGTTGTTTTCCGGGAATTCGCGTCGCGTGCCGCATCACGCGTTTAACCAACCATGCACAGTAATTTCTCTCTAAACGACGCTCATAGATTGTACACAAAAACGTACAATTTGTAAAGAGGATTTAAAGTGAACAATTATAAACACGATCCGCAAGACTCGAATAATCGTATCTTCCATTTCCAAATTCGCCATTTTTGCGCACAATCTGAGCGTCGATTAGGGAGAATTTACTGTAATACTATGTATTATTGAATATGCATATAATTTGTATTATTCACCTATGCAATTCGGTAACTTTACCGACCTTAGCATCGACGTAACAATAAATTACATAGGCGTAGAACTAGCACAGGGAAATTCAGAGAAACCCGAAATTTGGCATTTCCGGGGGGAGAAATTACTGTATCACGCGGATATTTTCTTATCGAACTGTCTACGTCTAGGTGGTTCACCGTGTTCGCGGAGCAGCTCCTCCGTACGCCGATTGTAATTGGCCATCGAGTTGAGGAACGTGACGAACAGAAAGTACTCCGCCTGGCCGACGATCCTCAACAGCAACAGCAGAGTTTCGACGGGGTTACCGTGCAGCAACTTGCTCTCCAACGATTGCAGGACGAAGCCGTGTTTAAAGTCTTCCGTGGAGAGCCTGTCGCGACGAACAGTTTAACGAGAATCAACTCACGAGGAGGCAAGTTCAGTAATTAATATGTTCCCCGGAAACGCGCGAGCGCCATTTCGCCGGCAGGCTAAACTCGATATCATTGACTGATCGCTTTTTCATTAACTATTACGCGCCTCGTGGGAAGACTCCGCCACTTTCTGTTACGTAGATCGTAAAGTTCGTTTCTCTATCGGCGTTTTAGATTACAAAATGATTGCTCAACCCTCGCGAACTATAGTTACCGGTTCATTTTGATTTCGGAGTATTTAAATCGACACCCGATTATGTACTTAATAGTCGAGAAACTCTAATCAAACAAATTGCTCTTGCACCGGAAACAACTGATAGATTAAATGCATTCATTCGGTAGATAAAGTCTGCATTTTTTGAACTTCGACCAAGCGACTCGATTTTATTTTTCAGATTTCAGAGAAGCTAGTTTAACACTAGATTCACGGAACCCGTCGAAATGACGGGTGAATAATTTTTTAATTTACGATCAATTTTAATAATTGATTATTCGTATCGTAAGGATACATTTTGTGAGTTATTTATTCAATTTATAATATGTTACTTACGGCAAATGTTACAATAACACTTGTTAAAAATCAGAATAAATGTCTTATTGTTACTTTTATAAACTAATATAAAACAGCTGTTTTTTGTGCTCTATAAATCTAGTGTTAACAGACAATGAATAGAAAAGATAAGATAAATAAAAAGATCTCTTGTTTCATTGTTATAAGCTCCGAGAAAAGTGTTGAAAAACGCTCATCTCATTATTCCTTGTTGTGATTTCATTTATTTCCAATTTCTGCAGAAATTATCTTATGATTTTCTAGCAAATCTCCCTGTAAGCTCTTTGATACATTCAAATCGTTTGGTCTAATTTTTAAAGATATATTCCGTTTTAGGTTAATTAAAATCAAATTTTTAGCACGCATATTACCGAGATCTACAAAGGGCATTTTTTAACTTTTCGTTATAGGCTCGGTTAAAAAAGTCAAGAAACGAGGGTTTTTAATTTGTTCTTTCCATTCCAAGTAATATCAAAATTAAAAAAAAAATGCTTCTTAGCCATCGCCTACTAGACTAGTCCCTCTGCCATAAAAAAAAATTCAAGTCATTTAGTTCAATTTTCAAAAAACTATTGCCTTTCAAAAGGTGTACAAACACTTTCGTGGGCCACTGTACATATCGTAAAATAAGAATTATGCTTGTTGCATACAGTTGAGCATCCTCGCGAATCCACTGTGTGTTGTCATTCAATTGTCTATTGCTATTATCATTACAAGAAGAAAAAGAAGAAGAAGAAGAAGCAGAAGAAGAAGACGTACCGTTCCACGAGAACATCGACGAGCAGTTTAGGGTCGACTCCCAGGTAAGTGGTCTTCAAATTCTCCCGGGCGCTTCTGCTATCCTTCGGCGGGCTACTTACGGTCGCGTAATCTTTTCCCAGTATCTTCTCGAACTGCAGAATAGCCTGAATCTTGTACTCGTATCGACTCAAAGGATCCAGCGTTTCCAGCCTGTCGGCATCGGGGATTTTATTCAATTCTATCAAAGGATCCGATTCCTCCGGAAGTCGAAGAAGGATCGCTTCTTGCTTCGCCTCCGACGCTTCAGTTTCAGGGGATCTTTCCGTCCCCCTTCGCCTCCCTTCCCGCGATGTATCGAGCGTTTTTTCGCTGCGAGGTGATTTCGCCCTGGCCCGGTCACTTCCTTTCGATTTCCCCTCGCTCCCCGCCGCTTCCCTGACGGACGAAAACGTTTAACCCTTTCGCGCCGAGCGCCGCATATATGCGGCATCCACTCGACGACCTGTGTCTCGTAATCCGGAAATGGCGGATTCCTCGGATCATTTGAAGCAACTTCTTCCTTTACAAAAATTTTCTCCGAGCCACCGTTAACGAGTTATTAACGAAAAACAGTGACCAATAAGAATCGAGTACGGCTGACGCGAGGCGGCCCAGCCAACCAGCGCGCGAAGCCCAGTTCCGCTCGTTGACTCGATCGCCTCGCGCTCTCATTGGTCACTGTTTTTCGTTAATAACTCGTTAATGGTGCCTCGGAGAAAATTTTTCTAAAGGAAAAAGTTGCTTCAAATGACCCGAGGAACCCGCCACTTTCGGATTGCGAGACATTTTTGGGACACCCTGTATATACAGAAACCACGCGCACTGTGCATATTTCCGGAGCGAGTTTCCGTTCGGTGACGGTACTTCGGTGGATGGAGCTGCCGTAGCGAAAGGGTTAAACGCGGCGGTCGGAAAGTCGCGCGAAGAATTCGTCGAAGCGAGCGAGCGAGCGATCGGCGCGCACCGATACACGCTCTCCAATTAGAATTGGTATCCTCGATCGATGAACTACATTTAGGAATGAATTTGCAGGCCGTACTTGCGCCGTTCCCGTGCTTCCGTGTAATTCTGATAAGCGTCGTCGATGATCTGTCGCAGCGTAATCGAATGTTCGCTTTCGCCGAGAGCTATGGCTTCCGTGATCGCCTTGTCGATCGAGAGCACCGGGGCTGAGAGTGCTCTCGCGCTTCTGCAGGCCGCGTCCTGGTACTCTGGACACAGCAGATTTTATTTCACGTTTAACCGGGAAGTCGTTACGCGACAACGCAAACAAAATTTTAACGAAGCGGAACACTCGTCCATCCACGTTCGCAGAGAATTTATAAATCGACGTTCGTCGGAGAGAAAAGCGCGCTTCTCTGATTTTTATCTCGCAGTCGTGATTAACCCTTCGCACTCGAACCCATTTTATCCGCGAATCTAAAATAACTTTTCTGACTTGTATTATTTTCATGTTACACGGCAACGTGTATTTTACGCTTACGAAATTGAGCCTTGCGATTCATGCGACAGCTACACTTTCAGTAATGTTCAAAATCGAAACTTTGATAATATCAAAATTATCCTAGAACGTGATATAACAATTTTTTTAGCGGTGCCTCAGAGTCGCCACTCGAGCGCAAAGGGTTGATTTCTACTTTCTTTTTTAAACGGGGCATCGTGTCAATCGTTTCCATGCTTTTATAAAATAGTTATGAAAGTGTCCGTTAATTGAAGCGATTCATCGCGTTAAATTGTCAAACACGACGATTATTATCGGACGATGGAAGCAATATTTGTTAAATGAAATACTCGGAGAAGCTAAGAAAGGACATTGTAATATGCACCGTAACGACGTCGTTAACGAGCGTACCTTTGTTACCGAATTAAAAGGTTCCGTAAGCAGGACTCATAATTAACAGTCTTGCCGTACTTCGACGAGTCCGACTCGTCGTGAAAATTTCTAGTAATTACATATCGAGTATAAATGTTATTCCGTTCTTTAAAATTGGAGCAAAATTCTACTCTATTGTCGTCGATATTTCAGCAATTCGAGTAAAAAGCGCGCAACAAGCATCGATTTTCTCTCCCTTCTACGAAATTATTGCAATCGAAAAATTTCTAATCGCAGCAACTGCGAAGAAAATGGTATTTCAAGGGGTTAATGTGATGTCTTTTAAGAGCGACAATATTTAATTTGCTTCGAACTTGCGCGACTTGCGTCGAACGAAGAAATGCTACTCGATCAGTTCTAATCTTTTTTTAGAGTGTCGATAAGAATGTTAAAGAAGCAGCATTGATATTGATAATTTCATTTCATCATTTATATCGATAATTTTTTAAGCAATTCAAGTAAAAAGCGCGCAACAAGCATCGATTTTCTTTCCCTTCTACGAAATTATTGCAATCGAAAGATTTCTAATCGCAGCAACTACGAAGAAAATGGTATTTCAAGGGGTTAATGTGATGTTTTTTAAGAACAATAATATTTAATTTGCTTCGAACTTGCGCGACTTGCGTCGAACGAAGAAATGTTACTAGATCAGTTCTAATCTTTTTTTAGAGTGTCGATAAGAATGTTAAAGAAGCAGCATTGATATTGATAATTTCATTTCATCATTTATATCGATAATTTTTTAAGCAATTCAAGTAAAAAGCGCGCAACAAGCATCGATTTTCTTTCCCTTCTACGAAATTATTGCAATCGAAAAATTTCTAATCGCAGCAACTGCGAAGAAGATGCTATTTCAAGAGGTTAATATGATGTCTTTTAAGAGCGACAATATTTAATTTGCTTCGAACATGCGCGATTTGCGTCGAACGATGAAATATTACTCGATCAGTTCCAATCTTTTCTTCGAGTACCGAGAAGAATGTTAAAGAAGCAGCATTGATATTGATAATTTTACATTATTATCCGTTATTATACGTTATTACTATTATAATATTATTGTTAATATTGCTAATAAACCAGCTGGCGAGCTGCAGTTTCCGATCGCTCGATCGGAATTATAAAGTCGCTTAATTAAAGTCTGGATCGGGACCGCGAAGTTATTTCCTAGAGAGCGTATCGTTATTTCTTCGGGACTGTTATCGAGGGTTATTCTTAACTCGTGAATGGGAGCGATGTACATGTGATATTGCGAGATAGTACCGGTGAAAGGAGCTCCGTGGAAAATAATGCAGACTTTCTTCGCCGGTCTGGCAGGGTCCGGAAGATCGTTCAACGGGCCGGATTTCCGCTCGATACTCTCGAAATATTCTTTCACGGGATCTCCCATTCTGTTCCGGAAGTCTGAAGCGTCGCGCAGACTTTCCGTGTAACCTTAAATCAAGGAAGTGCGCCGGTCGTTTTTCTATAAATCCGCTTTTTTTACGCGAGTTCCTTCCGTTGTAAAATGCACGTCGAAAGACTATTCCTCTGCTTCTCTCGCTGTTAACAAGATCTTAGTCTCAGGTTTCGGAGCAAAAATAAAATGTTGTTGGAGATTTACCATCGATTTAAAATAGCATGCCGGGCTAACTAATGTCGTGGCAAAGGTAATAAACGATGATCCGACGAACGAGCTGTGAAATTTGTGCATTCAACAACGAAGAATCTTCGGAATATCGTTGGAGGATTTCGTGTTCGCTTAAATTATTAAAGTATGCTTTTATTTCATTTCCGTTCCCTGAAACTCGTTCAACCAGTTAGTTGTGAAGCTCCTATATGTGTCGCGAGAATCAAGCGACGACGAGTATACTCGTCGAACGCGGAGTAATCGTCGCTGTTAACCCTTCGTACTCGAGTGGCGACTCTGAGGCGCCACTAAAAATTGCTGTACTATTTTTCTAAGTAATTGTAATAGTATCAAACTCGTTTATATTTTAAAAAATTGTTAAAATTGCAAGTGTTCTTGTCAATAGGCTCAAAATTGCTGTACTATTTTTCTAGATAATTGTAACAGTATCAAATTCGTTTATATTTTTAAAAAACTGTTAAAATTGCAAGTATTCCACTTGGCAATAGGCTCAAAATTGCTGTACTATTTTTCTAAATAATTGTAACAGTATTAAACTCGTTTATATTTTAAAAAATTGTTAAAATTGCAAGTGTTCTTGTCAATAGGCTCAAAATTGCTGTACTATTTTTCTAGATAATTGTAACAGTATCAAATTCGTTTATATTTTTAAAAAACTGTTAAAATTGCAAGTATTCCACTTGGCAACAGGCTCAAAATTGCTGTACTATTTTTCTAAATAATTGTAACAGTATTAAACTCGTTTATATTTTAAAAAATTGTTAAAATTGCAAGTGTTCTTGTCAATAGGCTCAAAATTGTTGTACTATTTTTCTAAATAATTGTAACAGTATCAAACTCGTTTATATTTAAAAAACTGTTAAAATTGCAAGTATACCACTTGTCAACAGGCTCAAAATTGCTGTACTATTTTTCTAAATAATTGTAACAGTATCAAACTCGTCCATATTTTTAAAAAACTGTTAAAATTGCAAGTATTCTTGCAAACTTGTCAACGGGCTCAATTTTATATAAATAAATCGTACTAAATCGTATAAAATGGAAATACTGTAGATGAGAAAACATGTTTTGTATTTCGAATTAAAATAACTTCGACTGCAAACGATTAAAATATTGGATCAAAAAGACGGTTCTATTTTATAAAATTAACAATTTTATTATACTAATAATATTGACTTCTTCGCTTAACATTAAAATATTCAAATTCAAATTGCTGCTCTAGAGCGGTATTATTATTAACGCACGATGAGTATACTCGTCACGACACAAAATACTGCTACATCTCCACAGCTAACTGGTTAAACAAATACTTGTTCGGCACAAAAATTTCCGGTCCGAGTCGTCAATTATCATCAAGACGGACAGCAGAATTTGTACATTTTCCACTATCGATTTGTACGGTTATGCTAAAATCTTTCTGTATCGGTCGCGCGAATTTAATCTTTCCCTAAAATAATAACAATTATCGGTCCCATAAAAGCTGAAAGAGCGGGCGCACTTACTTGTGCTCTCGCCGAGACGACACTCGCTTCCTGGATATTCCTGCTGTTCTAATTCCTGAATCGATCGAACCCGAGCCATTTCGTCGACGAGATCGTTGTAAAACTTTATTAAATCCGCGGGTAACGGATCCCCGGGCTTGCCGGGGGGCAGGAGTATTTCCTCGGCTCCGTAATAATCCAATAAAATGTTTATGACTTGATCGTCCATCTGGAACGAGCTTAAACACCGTCGTTCCATTGAAAATCCACGCGGGAAGGGTCGAGCAACGCGAGAGCGAGAAGCATCATCGAGCATATCGCAGTTGAACAACCTCTTGTTAAATGTTTATCGATCCGCTTACCGGTCCACGTGATGCCAGAAAAACTCGACAGGATAATCGGAAGCGTTCTCGATCGCGAAACCGGCGTCCTGGCCGCAAGTGTAAGGCACCATCGGCAAAAATTGGATAACCGGCTCGTCGATGGTCAGAGATCTCTCGATCCCGCGGCCCGTTAGCACCACCGTCGGCGTTTCCAAGCTCATTTTCACGTGCACGTTCAGCTTCATCTCCACGTAACACTGGAACACCGATATTTCTACCATGAACCACCGAGCGCGAAACCTATTATCTGCTCTCCGAAAACAGTTTCACGATCGAAGCCGAGAAATCGGAGGATCGCGGAACCGTTATGCAATATTCACCGTGAAAATCACAACAGAATCTGAACAGCCGGACAAAGGATTCCGACATTTTTTAACAAGCGCCGAATATATAGGGTGTTTATTGATTCCCCGTTTGCTAGACGATAAAACATTTAATTTAGAAAGGAATACTATTTTTTCAATAAAAAATCTGGGTCGTGTTCATTTTTTTTAAATGGCACTGCACATTTTTTTATGCATTGTTTATGCTACATTAATGTAAACGAGACAAAAAGAATATTATTTTTTCAATAAAAAATCCGGGTCGCCTTAATTTTTTAAAAATGGCACTGCATATTTTTTTATGCATTACTTATGCTACATTAATGTAGACGAATTCAACGACTTGCTAGAGCATGACCTTTGGGTGACCTTTGGGTGGTTGAATCGAGAAATTTCAGTTCAAGCGGCAGAATCGATTGAAGATGAAAATTTCTTTATTTTAAGATACATCAATAAGCGAATTGATAATTTTATGAAGAAAAAGTATCATTACGTAAATTTAACGAAAACGAAGCTATTAGGTCGGCTAACGTCTAATAATTTTATTACAAAAGTGTTATTATTACCAAAAATTTATGTTACAGTGAAGTAAAAAATACGCAGTGGCATTTAACAAAATTAAGATGAACCCGATTTTTATTGAAGAAATTTTGTCGTATAGCAAACCAGGAAACCGATAAACATTTGTTCGAAACAATTTTTTGGTCAGATTAACAGAAGCGCAGGAAAAAAATGTGAGCAAAAGTTGAGGAAACACCCTATATATCTCAAAAATTCTCGCGATGTCGAAGTCACTTAATTAATGAAATCGAAACTAGAAGTTTAAAACTGTTACAGTAACTGTTACTTTAATTTCATTGCATTCTAAAAATTCTGGCGACATTCGGTTTGTTTGAATAATGAATAATTTAATTATAAAAATTAATTTCAAAACCTGGTTAAAAATTAGTGAGATTAATTTTTAAGTCCTTAGAGTAAGATTTAGACCAATATTTAGTCCTTAAGACTAGGTCTTTATACGACCAATGCGGCGCTCAAAGTGTTAATATCGAATGGTGAAGATGTCGATACAGATTGTTATGAAAACATCTTTAACGTTTGAGAACGATTGAACCGTTTCCCGAGTCACTGTTGCATAAATTGTACCATCGAGGTTGCAAATCTGATAAGACACGAATAAGGTTTGCTTATACAGTGGTCGCTCGATAAGCAGTCGCTTCCGGGGCTCAGATGCGATCTTCCGCAGAAAGCGGTTGCTTGTCGAACGAGCATCAACGCGAAGAAATCTTGACCTGTTTGTTTCGACCACGAATCGACCTTCGAGCGAATCGAACAGCTTGAAAGAAGCTCGAGAATTTCAAAGCGACCGTAGGATCGATTACAGGATGAGCTATTAAGTTTCATCGCTTTAATCATCGCTTCATACATGGTGTCCCAAAATTATTGTATAAGCGAAAAATGAGGGGTTCCTCAGGTCATTTGAAGTAACTTTTTCCTTTGCGAAAATGCAATCCGCGGCTTCGTTTACGAGTTATTGACGAAAAACAGTGACTAATGAGCGGCGAGTTCGGTTGGCGCGAGGCAGCGCGCAAAGCACAGTTCAGCTGATTGGCTCGGCCGCGTAGCGCTAGGCGCGCTCGCTTCTCATTGGTCACTGTTTTTCGTCGATAACTCGTAAACGGAGCCTCGGATTGCATTTTCGCAAAGGAAAAAGTTGCTTCAAATGACCTCAGGAACCCCTCATTTCCCGCTGGTACAATAATTTTAGGATGCCCTGTACTTGTTGACAATCGATGACTATAAAAACTCGAATGAAAGACTCGAATAATCGAATCTGTTCTTCCCAAATTGTCCACATACGTGTACAATCTGAGCGCCAATTAAGAAGAATTTACTAAAAAAACAAAGCAATAGATCTGAGCTATTGTTGAAACCCTGATACAGCAACAATAAATGTTTCGCAGCGTCGTAGATCGCGTACCGTTTTCCGTGGCTTGAAGTAAACGCGAATGACCACCGATTGGCCAGGTGCGCAATGATTGGAGTCGTGTTCCGCTTGAAATGGACAGTAATCCTGTTGCTTCTTCCGTACGCAGGACAATTTTATTTTCCACTCGCAGTCGACGAATCCTCTGTAGAATATATTGAAATGGTCATCAACGGATAGACAGCGGTGAAATAGAATTTGCAAATTCTGTTCAATTTTACTCGTTTTTTATCTGGATGTACATCATCAAACACTCGCCCACTATCACGTCCTGGAAGTCTAGCAGCTTTGTACTAACGGTTACATACGGATAGGTAACAGTTCCCTTTATGGTTATGGGAATAGTGCAGCCTCTTATCACCTACACGCAATTGCTATTATCGCCACGGTTTTTGCTAAAACCGTCAAAAAATTCCACGAATTCCACGAAAATTCGCCGAACAATGTAGGCGAGTCGTTCACACTTAATTTTTCCTGTAAATTACACGTTGTGCAAAAAAGAATGTTTCGAACGAAAGTTGTTGGTATAAAGAAGAGCATATGCGGCAACAATTAATTTTTTGCTATTATTCCTTTTCCATCAAAACATTAGGGTCGTAGTGAGTTTTTTTAACTGTAATGTGCAACATTTAATCGTGCCATACGAAAGTTCACTAAGTTTATTAAATAGGGAATAAAAAATTATTAAGGCGCAAGGGTTCAGAAATTGATGTTTATCGAGATATTCTTTAGTTGATTTCTAATGCAAGAAACGTTGAAAACATTGTCCATGGCAATCAATGCAAGCATGCAGGCGATTAGGCGATGCGAGTGTAGCTGTAACTTTGTTACATGTGTAAGTGTTCCATATTTTATCAAGTGGTCTTTATATTTCGATAAAAAGAAATAAAGAAAATAGCAAAAAATTCATTGTTGCCGGATATCTCTTTATAGCAAACGACTTTTGTTCTTGTCGTTGTTACACCAAACAACTATTTTTGATACAACGCAAGAAAAAGTTCACAAGAAAAATTAAGGTGAACGAGTTAAACGTCTCACCCTGTGTAAATCCGTCGATAAAATCGTAACTGGGAAGTTGAAATTTCGAAGGAAATTCAGTTCAAACGCATCGCGACAAACGGCCGTGAAGTATCGAACAATAAAGGGAAACGCTCACTTCGATATAAGCTGTATACGTTACTGGTGACCATCTCTGCGCATACTTCTCCCTAGACGGATTCCAAATTACACGAAGTATCGCAGAATCGCCCACCATCAGGTTCGATCGTCTCTTAAAGTGCACGATAATATCCATTTTCTCCACATTCTGGACCTTCTTCAGACGCATCGCCGCGCTCCACGGCCCGTAATTAATAATCCTCGTCGTATAATCGGCGACCTGACCGACGATCACGTACTCCATGTCTGCGAAGAACGTATCCCATCGCCAGAAACAGTGTCGAGGATGGCTGATTTATGGGATGATCGCCGAACGGGAAACGTACCAATAACGTATTCGGTGGAGAAGAGCTGAGGTATAGGCTCCTTTTTGCAAGTCGCGGCGTGCTGCATCAAGACGTATGAATTCCTGACGACGATCTCCCTTGCCAAATGTCTCTCCACCGCCATTTCCACGTCCACGACACGAGGATATATTTCCTCGTAGGAAACGACGCTCCAACCCTCCCCTCGAAACGGATACATTAATGCGAATAAATGCGTCGAACTCTATTCGGCCACGGTAAATTCTCCCCAATTGTCCCACGGTTTCGAAGGAGGAATGAGCAATTCGGGGAGAGGAGACACGATTAATCGAGCCTCACGGCAGTATATATATATGATAAATGTAAATATATATGATAATATAAATATAATAATATAAATATATAATAGATATATTATATATATTTACTTAATTATATAGTATATTATTATATATTCTCGCAATCCGGAAAGGAGGTTCCTGAGATCATTTGAAGTAACTTTTTCCTTAGCGAAAATGCAAGCCGCGGCTTCGTTTACGAGTTATTGACGAAAAACGCTGACCAATGAGATGCGAGCTTGCCAGCGCTAGGCGGTCGAGCCAATCAGCGGAACCGAGCTTCGACCGCTTGTTGGCTCAGCGAACTCGTCTAGCGGTAGGCGGTCGAGCCAATCAAGTGGAACCGGGCTTCGACCGCTCGTTGGCTCAACGAGCTCGCCTAGCGCTAGGCGTTCGAGCCAATCAGCGGAACCGGGCTTCGACCGTTCGTTGGCTCAGCGAGCTCGCCTAGCGCTAGGCGGTCGAGCCAATCAAGTGGAACTGAGCTGCGTGCGCTCATTGGCTGCGCCGCCTCGCGCCAGGCAAGCTCGCTTCTCATTGGTCACCGGTTTTCGTTAATAACTCGTAAACAAAGCTGCTGATTGTATTTTCGCTAAGGAGAAAGTTGCGTCGAATGACCTCAGGAATCTCCCATTTCCGGATTGCGGGACATTTATGGGACTTCTTATATTTGATAATTGTTGTCAATTGGCGATTATAAAAGCGAACCGCGAAGCTCGAATAATCGTATCTCCTCTTCGCAAATTGTCCACTTTTGTTTATAATCAGAGGGACAATTGGAAAGAATTTACTGTATTTCGTGGACAGATCGGTTCGTATCAAAATTATCGTATCGTCCGCAATATTATGTACGTTTACGAAAATGAATAATCTCTGAAGAAAGGGCCACGAGTGAATTTGTGCAATCGAGTGTCGCGTCTCGTTTCTCACCGGCCAAGTCAGCGACGAAGTCTTCGGGCAGGTCGGGCCTCTTTTCCGGCTCGCACTCCTGCAGGCTGTGCTTCGTCGCCTCCAGTTTCTTTACCAAAAAATTTCGGATTAACAACATGG